TTATATTAATTATTATGTGTACTAACTGTACTAAACTGTACTAAGCTGTACTAACTGTACTAATTTCCCAACCCTGCATCTAAGTATCTTGAAACTTTTGAATAATGGTTCACTGTATTACCCGGACGACAATTTAGGCATAAATTGCCGAAGAGCTTTTCATTTTGTTTGCTTAACTTTTATTTGGAAAGTTTATCGTTTTCCTTTTCCAACGAATTGCTAGAAATTTCCGATGTTCTTGTAACATGAGTTTAATCGTTTGCATTTTGTGGATGATAACGATTTCTCTACAGGAATATCTGTATCAAATGTAAATGAAATTCATTTTACTTTGGAGTTCATGCTGTCGAAAAACAAACATGGGGATTCGCTGCAAATAAAGATTTGGTAATCCTTAAAGTAAATGAAAAATATTTTAAAATTCTTTTTCTTCTCATAAAAAAATTATTAGACGAGAGAACAAAAAACTTGATGCTATAGAGTAAATTAAATCTTGCATAAAGAATTTAGGCATTTCCTAAAACTCTTGCCTCACCTGCAAAAAATGGTAGTCGGCTAAATCATTATAACTCGATTTTAGTAACAAACCACCAATTCAAATTTGGACTAAGGGATGTTCGTGCGCATGTTAACTCTCAGTTTTAATTAAGAGGTAAGATATACAGTATTTTCGAATACAATAGGCGTGAAGGTCGATCAATTTATAATCATGTAACTTATACTTTGTTTTCTAAAGATTGAGTCTTTATTATATTGATACTAAATTGTACAACCTAGAGTATAATAGTAGTTACAATAAAAGAACTAACTTCTTGCCACGCTAATAAAATATAAAAATTTAAGATAAATCTTAGAATATATATCAAGATGAAAATAATAAATAGTAAGCTGGTAACGCCATAAAGAAAAATCACAGAGATAGAATCCTAAGCCACAACGATGATTCATTATTGAACTTCAGATTCCATAGGAAAAGTGATTTTAGGTAATTTGAATGAATCTTGAGGAAATTCTTGAGGTGATTCTACACCACAAACGACCGATAAAAAATCTTCCAAAACTTCTAAGCGCAGTTCAGCGAAACTATAACGGTCGTTCTTATCTCGTATTTTCTCAATAGTTTTTTTAGCTCGTTGTATTTCTTCTTCACCACTGTTAATTATATCAAAAATTGCCAGATTAATGTCTGCGATGTTACGCATTTCTTCTAACCTTGATAAAAAGGGCATTTTTTGAGCGTCATCAATGTGTTCCTTAGCTATGTTGCTATACTCCTTAAGAGTAACAAAATCTGTAAATCTATTAAGGAAAATTTTAAGCAAGTTGTTCTTTTTTCGTAATTCACAAATGCGTTCATCGAGCTTTATGGCCATCTCTTCAAGCTTTTTGGAACTCATCCCAGAAAGCACGTCCTTTGCTAGCGACACTAACTCCCCCGTTGTTTTTCCTTCAATTTTTAATTTCCCGCTACTCAAGACCTCACCAAGCAAAATTAAAAGGTAGGCTATTCCATCTGGTCTGAAACCATAGCTTAAAAGCGTATCTATAATTTCTTTAGGATTTATTACATCTGAACGTTCGACTAACCTTATAAGACTGGTACCTGTTTTATATTCTTCAGATAATTCATTGATAAACTGCTGATGATCGCCATCATCATAAGCTTTAAGTGCTCTCTTCATTATATTATTGATATTTTCGAGAATAGTGGGCACATTTGACAGGTTATTTCCACTTTTCCATAGTTTTGAACCGGCCCATATCCCTAAACCAAAGGTAATTATTCCAATTACCAACCCAATTGGACCACCGACTGTACTAACTCCCAACAAAATTGCTGTACTAACTTTTACGCCAGCAGCTGCAGTTACTGATAATCCTACACCTACTCCAGTTGTCGTAATAAGTCCTCCTACAGTCTTAAGTTTAGTAGATTGATACTTGACATGCAAGATCTCATCTTTTGGTATTTGATAACGAACCAAACTGCGGTCCGCTTTGAGCATTAAATCAGTACTTATTTTTAGCATATCATTATCAATTGATCGTTGATAAGATTTTTTGTCGGAAAAAGAAATCCCTTGATCCAATAATCTTACTAAAGCTCGCGTGTTTTCAGAATTAACTTTCAGTTTAATCTCCGTTCTTAATTCAGGAATTTCCTCGTAAGTATTCCTACCTCTAACTTTATCAAATATTTTTTTTGCCTCGTTCAAATCATGCAACTTGACCTCATGAGAATTCTTAAATTGTAACTTAATTGCTGACAATGCATATAACTGAGCTTCTAAAAGTCTGTTAGATACATATAAACATAATGCGATATTTCCTCGTAATCTTACTTGTTCTTTTAACTGTTTAGCTTTGTCAACAATTTTACATGCCATTCTATATTCCTGATAGGCTAGCAATCCATAATTCACGCTACTACGCTCCAGTTCTTCAGAAGAAAATTTACAGATTTCATCTTTCTTTAGTAGTTTTAGTTTATCCCACTGTCCTTTAGCTGCATTACGGTAGTCAATCGTAATTTTCCAGAATTCGTCTGCATTTTTTTTATGAAACGTCCAGCCTTCGTTACTTAAGATTTCCTCATAATTGGTCAATAAGCTATTCTTAATCTCTGTAATATATCTAAATAGTTCAATACCTAGGTTTTTATGTTCACCTTGAAGGGAACACGGGGTATTAGGCCGATTTGTTTTATCTGGATGGAAATTCAACGAGAGATTTCGGTAGCGTTTATTAACTTCATCCGCTGACCGAGCATTATTAAACAAGATTTCTTTTTTACAAGAAGAGTTCAACACATCCTGTATAATATCTATTCTTTTTTGATAAGCTATTTCATTAACTAATAATTTTAAATAATTCAAGGAAGTACAAAAAAGCTGCTGATCATTGCTAATATCTGGATTCTCAGATTCCTGAGAAATTATTAAACTCTCGTTGATTAAATAATCTGCTACTTGACGTAACTTGATGTCGTAATTAACGATATTCTGATAATTTTCAAAAGTCTTTGATATATCGCTAAGTTCTTTAATACTCCTTTTGATATCTTCAATAACTTTTTCACTTAACGTGCTGCTTTTAATATTTTTTAATAGTTCTTCCACAGCTTCCATATGATTAATAAGTTCCATAGTTATTGTTGTATTCAGTTCTTTCGTTTATGTATTTATAAACAATTTTGTAATGTAAGCTGAAGGTTATTATTGAAGTAATTATTGAGTAAAAATGAAGTAATCTTGACGCTGAATTTATTTAATAATATCAAATTAATCAGTGCTGTCTCACATCGGCGCTCTGTACTTTCGCAAAATAAATGCCAATCAATAAACTCTCTAATTAATTAAAACTGCGCAATTACGAAAATTTGAATAATAAAATAATAAGAAAAATCGGAATTATAAAAATATCGAAGTAACAAATACGAAATTTTAAATGTTAAAACGGCGAAAGCGAATTAGAAAAAAAGATAATCGTAAAATAAATAATAACGTAGCGTAATAGATACATTAGTAAACAATAATTGTTAAATAATAACACTATAATAACGCGATGTGATGTATTAATAAATATAATAAGGGCGAGCGTGATATATTGAGTTGTTTAAGGACTTCCGCAGCCTGGCATCCTGACATTTTGTCATACTGGCACGAAATTATGGAGTTTTCGGGAAATTATGTTCAATGTAACGTCTTTTACCCTAACAAATATGTTTGTTATTTGTTACACATTTAACGTTAGTCGATCGTCGACTTCATGTGATTGATTTACATTTGGAAATTGTCGATGTAAAGTTGATATCATCTTTATTTTAATTCAATATATTACTCACATATTCGACATTTTTCAACACTCAGATTTTTAACACCTTATGCATTTACTGGGTTGGGTAATTGTTAATAACAATATCTAAAAGTATTAATGAGTAAATATTAAATATAATTGATGAATGTTGAAATAATCAATAAATCGAGATTGATGGCGGAATTGACGAAATATTCTTTTGGACTGGTTTTGCTTTGTCTTTTTTTTTTTTTTTAAATGTATTATTTTGCTAATGACAAAACTTTAGATAATAATTTGATTCATATTTTGGAGGATTTATAAATATTTCTGGATAATATTTTTGGAGGGATTAAAATTTTTTTTTGTATGCTCAAATTATTTTTCGATATCAATAAATGAAATTTATTTCATCATGATATTAAAAACATTTCTTGTAATAATGAGATATTATACAAATTTGAGCTTAAATTGAATATTCATTTATCTAAATGATTAAATATAATTTTATATCCGATTAATGTAATATACTAAATATAATTTAATTTATGACAAAACTACTGAATATACATCATTCGCTATAATACATTATTTCCTAGAAATAACATATTGCGAAAGAAATGAATCATATTAAACAAGAATCTTTGATGTAATGAACTTCTTTTTGTATAAAAGATTAGAATACATTAATTCTTTCTCGAACCTTTAAATAGATCCCATTGAATACTCATGGTAGAAGACAAAGGTTGATCTTACTTCCGTAATTCTATACTTGCGTGACGATTAATCCGATTTCTGTATAATAGATGTGGTTACAAAAGAATCCTAATCGATCTTGTCCACCTTCTCATATTATGAATATGAATCTAGTTGTTAATAAATAAATGCATTATTTTTAATAGTTGCATTTTCGGCATAATATTACCCTTAAAATTCGAGTCGAATCCGGTTAAACAATAATCGGGTCGAGTCGAATTCGGGTTCTGTAATTATAAACGGGTTCTAGTTCAAACCGACATTACTCCATTCCAGTAAATGGTAAATTTTCGTAAAAAAAAAATCTCAAAATCGTGCATACTTTTAATCATGTAACACAACTTTATTTTATTATTAAAAAATTTAAAAGGAATAATCCCGGAACATTTAGCCACTCTTCAACCATAAAGCGTTCTAATTCAGCAAGATTTTTTGCTTCCGTCTTTTACATTGTTATTGACAATACTCAAAAGACTTTCAATAGGGTTAATATCAAGGCCAGTCAATAACAATGGACACATTAGCGTCAATAAATCCCTTGCTACACTAGTATGTATGCTTGGGATCATTATCTTTCTGAAATCGCAATCATTTTTTTTTTTTTTGATAAATGGATTTCAAGAATTTCAACATAATAGGAGCCTTTCATTATTTGTCGAAAACAAAAAAAAATAATGGAAGTCTATTCCATCCGAAAATAATGTTTTTATTCCAATTATCATTAAGGTACGTATGAACCCATTCCACACGTTTTTCCTTATATTCACAATTAAATATCATGATTGCTTTGGGCAAATTATTTTTATAACTCGTTACCAAAATGCTTTGCAATTGTTTTCTATGAGACACACTAGTTGCATTTTAACGGCGCGAAACAATACATTAATAAATCTCGTGTTTATTTAGTTACATCTTAAATACGTAATTTCTTCCAAATTTAGGAACAAAATTTTCTATATATTCAGATGACGCGCGTCTGTCAAATAGATTTAAGATATATTTCAACAAATAACATTTATAATGTTAAAAAAAAAAATTAAATAAAGCTAAGATGTAATGATATATTTATAATCTTAAATATTATGCGTAGTAAAATCATTTTTTTCTAAAATTAATAAGATTATTACTTTAACATACTGTATATGTAGTTTATAATAGGATGATTAAAAATGTTACTTACCACTAATTAATAGCTCAGAAGGAATCTTTAAATCTAATAGTTCACTATCATAATTCATACTAAGCTTTTCACTAAAAGTATCTTCAACGTTTATACTTTCAATTTGGTGCTCCAAATTTTCAAATTGTTCCAAAATATAGTGCGGAGGATTTTGTCTCCATCGTTGAAAAATAACTTGTAATTTTATAATATCAGGACGCTTTAACGGATCAGCATCCCAGCAACTTTTCATTACTTTATGATAAGCCGGTGGGATTTCTCGAGTTATTTCAGGTCGAAATCCATTGCAAATGTCTATAGCCAACATAAAATTATCAATCCACACATTATCGTATGGAGGTAATCCGGTTCCAAGCTCAAACATTATCATACCTAAACTATAAATATCCGAAGATCGAGTATACATACTTTCTCTTAAAATTTCAGGAGCTACATATGGCAAGATTTCAGATACTTTATTGGATTTTAAGGTTGATTTCAAATTAATATTAACATATTTGCATAAGCCAAAATTACTAAGAAATGCCAATTTCCCACTCATCAATACATTTCTAGGACGTAAATCACGATGAGTTATTCCTAGTTTATGAATTATAGCAAGATCATTAATTATATAGCCAATGATATTTATTTTTTCCAACCATGAAATTTTATTATTTTGTAAATAATTTTTTAAATTGCCATCAGCTGCATGTGAAGTTATTATACAATATTTTTTTGTCTCTGGATCCTGAGAAACACCATACAATCTATGGAACCTTCTACCACATGTCATAAATTGATGTTGGAATTTTAACTATTATTGAAATAAAGGTAAAGATGATTCTAATTGTAATTAAAAAAAAATATTATTATAAATTTAAGTAATAAAAAGTATATTTACCTCATTCATAAAATATTCAAAATTCGTTATATGTTTAAAATAGTTCTTATCAAAAGATTTAATTGTAACTTGAATGGGAAAACGTTGTCTTTGAGTATTGATGGTATACCAAAAATCATCCAACCTTTCACCATCTTTCCACTTTGCAGTATATGACTTTCCAAGCCACCAATTTTCATCAAATTCGATTTCAAGTCTGGAATAAGGAATCCATTCTAAATATGAAGCATAAGAGGTTGCATTTCTTTGAGTAGCTTGAATAAATTCATCAATGTCTTTATTTACGCTAGTCCAATTCGAAAATTCATCAATCAATTTTTGACAGTCACATCTAGGACACCAGTCATAATGACTTTTTGGTTGTTTACAATGAAAACATAGCCCATATAATTCTTCTTGGTTATTATCCATATTTCCTGTATTTAAAGTTTTTATTTTTATTTATTTTTTTTTTTTTGTGAAAAATTTTTTATGTTAAACGACATTTATGTGTAACATGATCATCAAATATTTCCTAATAATTCCTTCTTATACACTATTAACTTCGAAACCTTTCGGAAAATTTTGTAGTATTAATTATTTATGGATTCTTACTATTTCTTAACTATCTTCAAAAACTGATTCGCATATTCTTTCAATTTCATTGTGTTTTACAAAACTTAAACTGTTATGTAAAAAAAAAGCCCTAACCATATTTTTATTAGTGTTAAAAATCATTTCTTTAATAAAACATGAAAAAGAATTTTTTTTAAAACAAAAAGTTGCTTTAAATTTGTTCATGTGATAATTCATATGTTTTTTTCCAAAGACCCCTACTATTTATTTGACGATATTAGTTTACAAATAATTCGTTCCGTCAGAATAATTTTCTTTCCACACATTTTTTTTATAACTCGTATTGGTGATTCAAATTTTAATATCATGATTTAATAATAGATTTATGCAAACTTAATCTTTTTAATGGATACACGCATATATGTGCAATTTACATTTTCCATTTGGTTGTTATAATGTTTAAGTACATTCAGATATTTCATCATTGAGCATTTCATGAGAGTTTTACAGATATAGATCATTCGAACAAATCGATATATACAGTCGGCCCCTATATAGTCACCACCTCCTATATAGTCACTCCTCCCTTATAAGCACATTTTATTAGGCATTTAATGATAGACTTATTAAATAATCCTCTTCTATATTCACATCATATAACCAATTTTTTTGGTCTCCGAGTGACAATAGGAAGTCGACCGTATCTTTATTTATTTATTTATTTATTTTTAAATGATTATGAATTTTAGTTTCACATTTTCTTGTTTACGAACAAATACCGCAATTTACCTTCATTTCCAACTGACGGTTAGACAGAATCATTTACGTAATTTATAGACCATAAGCCAGGGTTGGCCTTTGGCCGTTTGGCCGTGGTTTGGCCATTTGTCAATTGGTCAATTTGGCCGGCCAAATGGCTAAAAAAAACCTTGGCCGCGGCTAAATGCCAGTCAAATTCTAATAAGTATTAATACATTTATTAATACCTAGTTTTGTAAGTATAAATTGAATTGATAACGTGGATAAGCACATTGCTGAAATATCTGCACTATGAATATAACATGAATAATTCTCAGCGCTATATTGCAAATAGAGGAGCCCTCGATTTAATTTGCATCGACAGGACATCGTAATATTATCTTTATTAAAAGGTCATTACTTAAAACAAAATTTCAAACTACAACATGTTTAGTTTTAATTTAATCACTGAGATAAAATATTTCCAAAAAGGGTTTCATTGATATTATGCAATGATATTGATATAAATTACAAGAAATTTTACTTGCATACTACATTCTTATATAGTCTCTTCGGAAAGTGACACCCGATTTAAATTACATAGTAAATTATATATAAAATTTATTTCTGGAACATGCGATTAAAATGGTTCTTGCATTTTATTATTAAAAAAAAATGATAATTGGCTTTAAACTTATGCAATATTTAGAAACAATTATTAAATGAAAAATATGTATAATTTTTTTGGGATCATAAACATAAAAAAAAAAATAAATAAATTTTTTTACATCACAATTAAAATAGTTTATGCACTTTCAATTTTCCACAAGTTATATATACCTTTTTAAAAAAAAATAAAATTAATTGAATTAAAATTATATAAAATTTATAAATGATTATTAAAGTAAATAATACGTATATTTATCATGAAACTTGAATCTGGAGAAATCAGTGCACGAATTTATCGCTTTGATACATTCTTGATTGGAAATTTTCTGAAGATTATTACATAATTAGAATCCGATTTATAATTATTCTAGATGATTGTGAACAAGCATGTAATTATTATTTGCTGTGCATTGGTGTTTAATTAACACCTATGCTTGTACGACCCTTCATATTCCTGTGAAATTCGACAGTGCTTGGAGGGAAACTAACTTTGTAAGACATGTCAGTACTCGCTGTATGTAGTCAAAATGCTTCAGCACTTTCTTAGAGTGAAACCACTTGAAAAAATTCTATTGTCTTGTCGTTGTTCATATCATCAAACTAGTTGTTTTATTTGCACGAACACACTCTTCTGATAGCCGATTACGTACAGGATCGATCGTATGTATTAGCCATCGAGAATATTTGGTTTATTTTTTTGATGGCAATTTTTACAGTATCGTTTGTTATTTCTTAAAAAGTCACCCAGAAATGAAGTTTGTATTAATGTATTTTCTTCGTATCCAATGATTAGAAATAAAAAGACAAAGCAATGTACCATGTCATAAAAATCTACTGAAAGTATGTGTGCTCAATTTTGAATCCAACTTTAAGTATGATGAGTTTAAATATCTTAGTGAATCATATACCACACGAGCACATGCTTATACTATTTGGGTTACGAAACGGGTTTGTACAAATCCCTAATTTTTCTATATACCGCAACTGCTGCACCTTCTGCAATATTGGTACCTGTTAAAAAATTCATATATTAAACTTCATAAATGACTGAAAAGACCATTTTCCAACTTTATAATTTTATTTAAAAATTAGATTTTGTTTTTAAAATTTCTGGTGAAATTTGTGAACATGAATTTCTGAGTTTTGTTTCATAAGTTAATCTTAAGATTGAGTTTACGAGAGAAATTTTTCTTATTCAATTGAAAATTGACTTTAGCAATGTATTCTATAGTTTTTTTTGTAAATTAGGTGATAATATTTTGATTTAATTTTTGTCTTTCATGGTAATAAGATAATAATTAACAATGCCATATTGTCTATATTTTTTTTTTTTAAATAGACTAAAATTTTGGTATCCGAACGTTTCGCCGAATCCTTTTTGCCGAACGGACACATCGCCGAATCCGTTTCACAGAAAAGACATTTCGTCGAAAATGACTACTGCGTAACATTTGTTTAACTTATCATTTTTAGGTTCTACATTATAAAGTAAGTTTTTTCTTAAAAATTTCGTTGGAAATAGTAAAAAAAGTTCAATAAATCTAGCAAGTTGCTAACAACCAACAGCGAATTATTTTCGTTTTCGGCGAAATGTCCTTTCGGTGAAATGGATTCGGAGAAGTGTCTATTCGGTAAAACGGATTCGGCAAAACGTCATTTCGGCGAAGCGTCCTCTCGGTGAAATGTTCATTCGGCGAAACTTCTTTTCGGTGAAAGGTCCATTCGGCGAAATGGACATTCAGCGAAGTTTCCGTTCTGCAAAATGTCCTTTCGGTGAATTGGCTTCGGCAAAGGGGGTTTCAGCGGAACGGGTTTCGGCGAAACGTACTGTAACCCAAAAATTTTAATATGGTAAACAATGTTATCTGGTCTGGTCTGGTCAGTGTATTACTTATCCCCGGCCAATTATGGATAAGTAAAATTTTAATAATCCAATTAGCCGAGGATAAATTATTTATCACCTGCCACTTACACAATAGTCAATAGTATATATTATAGTTCACGTTTGTATACATTTATTTTATTACTTATTAAAATTCCATTTTAAAAATAATTAAAACATTTTAGAAACTAATATTATGAAGAAAAGGACCTTGGTAAATGTAAACTTTCTTAATTACATAAATTTCCAATCAATCTAGTCACATGAAAAGACCAACAATAAGTTACTGAAGCAAATCTTATAATACTTTATTTGAAGAATTGTAAACTATACGCAGTCAGGATATTCCCATCTGCAACGTTAAAAGAATTTGTATTATTACAGGATTTGATTGTACTTAACAAAGCGAAATTAAAATGGGCATGCAATTTTTTATAATATATAATATAAATATTAGAAATTTCGAAACTAAACCATTATTTACACATCAATTCTTTAATTTCAAGTGAAAATTATCTCGACATCATTGCAATTATATTTATCCTTACTGGGTAGTAAACTTTATTTATTTATGCGTTGCTAGTAAAAATTATCTTAGGCTGATCGGAAAAAGAACGCCTTAATTTTATTAGTATGCCCATCAGTTATGCTTGAATATTAATTGCCGCAATTTTACAATCAGCCGATATGAACAATTGATTCATAAATTATATAATTTTAATTAACATGTTTGAAAAATTTGCCATTATCGAATTTTCATGAATTTTAAAGATTTTTTTTATATTTATTTCATAATTATTATCAATATTTCTTTTAGCTTTCATTTGTGTTTTCTTATTCCAAATTATTGCACATTATTTTAATAAAATTATATTCTAAAGTCAAAGATACAAGAAGTGTAGAATTTTGTGATTATATTTTAAAATTTTAATTATAATTATAATGCGGTTTGTAATTCAAAAATATTTAAATAAAAAAAAATTACTATAATTCAAATATAAAATTGTGGCGACTCAAATTTAGATCACTTATATACATATATACAGTATAATATATAAAAAGTTCGATTGAATTGAGTATTGTTTTTTAATTACAACGCAGTAAAGTATGAAATAACTGACGAGCAACAAGTATTAATGTTAATTATGAATCTATTTGTTGAAATAAAAAAAAACAAATAAATTCCAATGATGTACAGTCTAGTGCAAAAGTCTTTAGACAAAAATTTTGGCTTCATAACGACCGCGCTAAATCACATGAAAAAATATTCATTCGAAAGCCAAAAAGCCAGGAGATTTATTAAAAAAAATTTAATAGGGAATGCGTTCCCCATTTTTCTCAATTATAAGCTACATTAGCCCAAGGAACGCATCGCCATATGGCGCAGATGCACCATTAATGAAACAATACTTGCGTTCACGTACATCTACAGTTTTGTCTTCATCTCTCCTTCATTGAACCAACTAGACTTTTAATAATGTCCTGTGGAAATTTTGATCATTCCTCCATAAAATTTTCCAAATTCCCAATATTTTGTGGTTGCCGCATCTTTTAACAATTTCCCATA